TGGATGAGTTATTTAATGTCTCTGTTCCTTAATTGCCTCATCTGTAAAGTGAAGATAATTACATTGTTGTGAGGATTAAATGTATAAAGAAACACTTAGCTAAATGCAATGTGGTACCTTGATTAGAGCCTAGAATAGGAAAAAAAAGGACCACAGTGAGGAAAAAAATGGTAGAATCAAAACCTGTAGTTTATTTAATGCTGTTGTACCATTGTTAATGTCTTAATTTTGAAAATTGTGTCAGGCTGAGATCGGTCTGGCTAAGTTCCTCATGTGGGACTTGAATTTGCAATCTGTCTGCCTCAGACTCTCAAAGTGCTGGGATCACAGGGATAAACTTTGTACTTCAAAGAATATCACTAAGAGCCAGGCGTGTGGTGCACTGCTGTAATCCCAGCGCTCAAGAGGCTGAGGCAGGAGGATCACGAGTTTGATGCTGGTCTGGAGTACATAGTAAACTTAAGGCCAGCCTGAACTACATAATGAGACCCTGTTTAAAAAAAAAAACAAACACATCATCAAGAAGGTAAAAAGATAACTAAAAGAATAAGAAAATACTTTGCAAATTATATCTGATAAGGAATTTGTATACAAAAAATCTCACAACAACAGACAACATTTATGTGGAAATACCGGGGCAAATATAGAACTGGAGCACAGAAAAGCAATCAGAAGGGACGTCCTAACTAGTAATTGTTTACTGAAAGGTCTGTACTGTACTATTCAATCGTGCAATCTTTTCAACGAATTCAGCTAGGAATAGCAGCTGACACTGACTGAGCACGTACCATGTGCCGAGTCCTTTTGGCGCCACTGCACACATTATCTCCAGTCTCACCAAAGAACAGTTTGGTGACGAATATGAGGCTTCTCCAAATTTGACCCACAAATAGACAATTCTATTTTAGAGAAATTAGTGAAGCAAATGAAAGGTTGTGGGATCCGTTTAAAATAGTTACAGTGTCAGGGGCCTTGAGCCAGACCAAACAGCACAGCTTCCCACACACCCCACTTGGCCTGTGATTACTCAAATCCCAGCCCTGGCCCCAAGAACTGCCTGCCAAAATGCACGACTGGAAGGCAGTTTGCCAGGAAAAGGCAGAGCTGGTCCTGGCTTTAGCCACTGAATTGCCTAAGAGTTACCTGGGAGGAAATGCAGGACATCTTTCGTTATAGTCATAAAATCTGGCTTAACACCACAGCTCCCCGCTCTGGTTTTCCACCGTCTCACCTAGCAGTTTGCTTTTTCAGCACTGGGATAACCCAGTGAGGCTGATGATGAGGTGGGAGAGAGAGACATGGCCCCAGTTCCTGGAGGCTGAGCAGCCCAAGGCTGACGGTGGGCTTATCTGGGTAAAGAATCTGCAGAGATGTACGTTTATTCAGGCACCAGAAGTTTTAAGGCTTTCTTTTAGCAAATGCCATGTGGTTTGTGTTCTCCTGTGCTTCAGTGACCAGCACAAGGGCAGAAGCTAGACCTTGAGACAAAAGAAATACAGGTGACAATGCTGATGAGTGGGGAAAAGAAGTTCCCTCTTCTACCCATGAAGACTCTCCTGGCCGGGGTGGCACAGGCCCAAACACAACTGCGCCTTGAGAGTAGAAGCAGCACAGGCAGCACTGAGGAGCACCTGGTCCGGGACCGCGGAAAGGCCAGAGGTGACAGGAGAGACCAGCAGAGCCTCTGCTGGCGGGGAAGAGCCCCCAGTGGGGAGGAGCTGTGGCCCCAGGCTCAGTGCCTGCAGCGGCTGCTGGTTGGAGGGGGCGCTGTGCGCAATGGCTGCCTGTCCTGTCCTGCAGCAGAGGCAGGGAACAGTTAGGAGCTCCAGGTGCATCTCAACTGCCACAGCCTCTCTCAGGCTTGGAGTCTCTCATGTGTACAGCATGCACTTCCTTTCAAAAAAAAAAAATCAGAGAAACAACATTTTTAAAGTCAACTGTGTCTTTCTATCTCAGCCCGTGCCCCCGCTATTGAGGGGGGCCTCGGAGAAAATCCCGGGCAGTCTCTGAGTCAGTACCTGCCCAGCAATGAGGAGTGAGGACATGGCAGATTCCAACCTCGCTGCAGACACAGTAACAGCTACTGTCTGAGAGTTCGGGAGGATTGCAGTTCTAGGGACCTGACCCCACTTCCCCCGCAATGGTTTGAGATGCTTCATTTCCACCCTTGGTAACATCTAGAGTGCAGGAGATATACAGCCATAGATCCAATCCGGTGACATCACTACCAGTTAGGCCACAGGATAGCGAATGCGGCACTGTCACAGTGTGTGGCAGGGAGAGGAGGCCCTTCCTCCACCCTGGGTGCAGTCTCCGAATTCCTGTGGCACTGCAGCTGTACCCATTCTCTCATCCCATCTGTGTAGACCGCCAGCAGCTAGCCTGTGCTTTGGACCAGAGCAGCACTCAGTAGTTAGAGGGCTCTGGAGCTGGGTTCGCTGCACTGGAATTGTGGGTTTTCACTGCCACTTGTATTTTACACATGTTCATCTCATTTTAGTAGTGGAGAAACTGAGGTAAAGTGAACTATTCAATTACTCATTCAACAAGTATTTGCTGAGAGCCAAGGCACTGCTGTGAATGCTGGGGCTAGAGAAAAAAAAGTACCTCTGCACTCATGAAGCTTGCGTTCTAGTGTGAAGAGGTAAGTAACACAAAGGGAAGATGTAAAATGCAAAGGGTGCCAGGCAGTGAAATAGAGTAAAGCTGGGAATAGCCTACCGTGCACACATTCACTCCACTCACTCCCTCATTCACTCGAGACAGCATGTATGAAGTTCAGGCTGGCCTTGAACTCACTATATATATAGCCCAGGCTGGCCTCAAGCTTGCAGTGAACCTCTGGCCATAGCCTCCTGAGAGCCGGGATTACAGGTGCGTGTCACCATACTGGGCGACGGGAAGGCGGCTTTTAAAAAAAGGATCAGAAATGACCTTGCAGGTGAGTCTTGAACAGAGAGAGATCCGAGGGAGACAGCCAGCCAGCCTTGTGAATCTGGCAGGAGACCATGTAAGAGGGGGCAAGGCCCTGGCTGGGGTCTGGTGCATACAATGACAACAAGGAGGCCATTAAGTTCTGAGATTTGTCCAGGTTTAATCAACACCAAGCTTAAGCCCCAGTTTAGTGCCGAAGTTCTACATGTAAAAATATTTTAAAATGTTATGAGCACTGCAAATACTTCTCTCAGGTTTTACTTTTTTTCTAATTACCGTTAAGTGAATAATTTATAAGTCTTTACCCAGGCCTAGTATTTTTTTTTTTTTTTTTTTTTTTGCGGGGGCGGGGGGTGGGTTCTGGTACCAGGAACCGAACTCACGACTTTCCACTTGCCAGGCAGGCACTGTGCCGCTGAGCTAAAGCACCAGCCCCACAGGCTTAGTATTTTAAATACCAGTGACTCCTAAGTGTACAATTCAGTGGCATTAAGTACGTTCGGTGTTTCAGTCATCACTATACACTTGGAGAACTGTTTCTTTCATCATTTTGTGTTTCTTTCATTGTTTTCATCAGTTCTGTATCCGTTAGATAACTCCCTCTCCCCAACCCACCCCATCCCTGGTAATGTCTACTCTATTTGTCCATGAATTTGCCTGTTCTAGGCATCTCATATAAGTGGAATCATATGTGTCTAGCTTATTTCATTTAGCATAATACATACCAAGTTCATCCACATTGTACCAAGTATCAGAACTTTATTTCTTTTTATGGCTAATATTTCCTTGTATGTATCCACTACACTTACCTGTTCATCTGTTGATGGACATATAATTTTTTTCTATCGTTTTGCTCTTGTGAATAATGATGCTGTGAACACTGGTTTAGAAGTACTACTCGAGTCATTGGCTTAAGTATATATCTAGAGTTCCTGGATCATATGATAATGTTTAACTTTCTGAGGAAACATCGAACTTTTCCAGAGTGGCTACACCATTTCTGCAGTCCTACCAGCAATTCACAAGGTTCTGATTTTTCCAGATTCCTGTCAATCTTTGTTATACATATTCTTGGAGACAGAAGTCCTACAATGTTGCCCAAGATGGTCTTATATTCCTGGGATCAACTTTATGATCCTCCTGGCTCACTGAGAACACAGGCATGATCAACTGCACCTGGCTGTTTTCCTCTTGCAATATGGCCCTAATATGTATGAAATCAGGTTCTATTCTTACCACTAGAGTCAAATTTGTGCTGTATTTTCAGAGGTGTGTATAGCTTTTAACTTTGGCTCTAGTGACTATTTCTTGACCCAGTTTTAAACTTTTAGTTCTTAACCAGGAGTAATTCTCATTCTGCCTTTCCTGTTGGTGACATCTGACAATGTCTGGGGAATTGTCACAACTGAAGGAGGGGGTGCTACTGGCATCCAGTGGGTAAAGGCCAGGGGTGCTGCAAAAGATTTTATAATGTATGGGGTAACCTCCTGCAACAAGAATTGTCTGCCCACAAACAGTGCTAGTAATGCCAAAGTGGGTAAACCCCGGATTACATAGCTATCTTGTCGTATCTCATGTATCTTCATAAAGTGCTTCAAATCCTCTTGGGCACAGAGCAGAATATAGAGTGAACTACCGTTTGTGAACTAAATGATAATAACATTGTGATATAGTGGCAGAGGCGTAATTTTCATAGTGGTCTCCAATACAAATTCAAAGCATGTACTTGAATGCATTTATTGAATTAGTTATTGATCAATATCTTAGAGTACTATAGGAGATAAAAATATTGCCACTGATACCTTCAAGAAGTTACCATGTTCTCAAGGGAAACAAATCTAGACATCTGGCCTTCCCTGAAATTGAAAAATACTTACTGAATGCCGGTTGTGTTCCAGAGTGTCTATCTGGCATTAAACATATGTGAGGGGACCAGGCAGGAAGATTAGTCCCAGCACTTACACAGCACAAACTTCCCTAAGACAAATTTCCTGATAGCCCAAACATTCTTTCACAGTGTTTGGTCTCCCCCTCCCTTTTAAAGTTGAACAGTTGAAGGAATCAAATTCTTATAAAATGGAAAACTTTAATTGTTTAAAGCAAAGGCACAAGTAAACATTTCAGGTTATCATACAATGTTATAATAAAAAATTCCAACAGTAAAATGAAATAACATTATAACTTTGCATCTCTGTAGTATACTGAATATATTATTCTAGCATCTCTTCTTTGGAGTGAAAAGAAGGGATGTGTAAATCAATGGATGTGATATAAAAACTTGGATTATAAATAGCATTCACTCTACTTTGAACTAGAAATTTTAATTTCTACAATTTCAGAATTAAATGAAAATGAATTATTTTTAAAACAACACTTTGATAATGTAAAGCAGCAAAACTTTCAGACTAAGACTTATTGTTTTAATAAGTAAGTCACTGATTTCACAAAATGTTAGCTGTCAGTATCTGGTATGATACAATAGTCAAGCTCATCATGAAAGAACTTTAGCGTAAGAATTCATATACTAATACTTTAAATCTGAATATTATAGTGTATTATGTGAATGATAAATTAGGGATCAAATGATTTCTTATGATGTCAGAAATAATATACTCCAAAATGTCTAGACCTTATTTTCAATCAAAGGCACTATCTGGAGAGTAACAAGCTACATCATGTTCGGAGCTGAGGAAAAGTAACTGGCTAGTTAATTGGAACTTGATGTCTTAGTCAGTAAATAATGCACGGCTACTGTCTAGCAAACAAACAAACAAGCAAACAAACCACCACTACCAATAAAAAAGTAGAAACTGTGTAAAGTTGTACCTTTGACCCTTTTTCCAAGAAAAAAAAAGTTTGCCACTAGTTTTTAAAAAGTCTGTTGAAGTATTTTCTTGAACACTCTGTTTCAATACTTCAACGCAATCTCCACGTAATTCAGATCACTTGTGGTTTCTGCTCTCAGTGTATCAACCTAGGGTGGCAATGACACCAAGAAGGTAATCTAAGGGAACAAGTTTTTCTATTGTGAGTCATTTCATTCACTCTTTCCCCATAACACTTTTCCATGCTAAGTGTTTAAGTGATTGACATTTAAAGGAAACAAATAAAAAAATCAGAGATTAAAATATATTAGAACATAATCTAATGCCCTCGAAATCTTGAAAGACATATTAACTTGAACAAAACAGAGTCAAATCAGGGCATATTTTCCTGTTGTATCCTAAAGGTCAGGAAGATTTAAAATTCTTCTAAAGTGCATTTTGAAATGTGGTCTCACTGCATCGCCCAGGGTAGTCTTGAATTCTGGGACTCAAACGACTTTCTTATCCCAGCCCCTCAACAGCTGAGATAAAGGTACATGGTACTGTGCCTAGCTTAAATAAAAGAGGTTGAATGAGAAATGCTGTTTCTTGTTTTTCACTGTCCAAATTATAAGAATATCAACAAATTAAGGTTTACTTACCACCATTTTTTTTAACCACCATTCTTTTTATACTCAATTCCTAACTAGAAAAAGTACTTAAGAAATTTTCTAAAAGTATCTTTCAAAATTCAGAATTCAAATATGATTCTAGAAATATGTTCTTAAAGTTAAATTAATATTTACTAAATGAAGCACATCCTAGAGATCAAGATCAGTGATTGAACAGGGTCAGGATTCTGGAATTCATTCTTTTTTTTTTCCTCCTCCAAAAGTATAGGTATCCTTCCAGATTTTTTTTTTAATAAAATCAAAGGCTTTATCATATAAAATAACTAGGGATGTAGGTCAAAGATAGAGTGCCTTCCTAGCATGCATGAGGCTCAGGTTCAACCTCCAGCACCACAAAACAAAGAACAGTAAGTTGCATATAAACAGTTGGCACATTTTCCATTTAGAATTATTCTGCAGTGTATGATCCATGAGGATATTTTAAGATTTCAAATTATTAGCTCACCGGTAAGCAATTTTTAAAATTTTCTTGATTTTCTATTAAGCTCAACTAATGCAGTAAAATTAACATTTGGAGTATCTAGGTCAAGGTTACCGAATCTTTTCTGTCAAGGGTCAGAGAGTAAATAGTTATGCTATGTGGGCCATATGGTCTCCATTGCAACTACTCAACTCTGCCATTATGGTATAAAATCAGCCACAGCATATGTTAAACAGATAAGCATAGGTATGTTCCAATAAAACTTTAAGGACACTGAAATTTGAATTTCATACAACTTTTATGTGTCACAATACATTATTCTTTTGAGTTTTTTCTAAACTGTTTAAAAAAGCAAAAGTATGCAGCTGATTGGAATTAACCTTGGGCTGCAGTTTGCAGATTCCTGTACAGATCACTCAGATCGGATTGGATTGGATTTACTTACTGCAGTACTGAGGATCAAACTCAGCGTCTTGTACATGATAGACAAATGCTCCACCAGATTTACATCTCCAGCCTAATTCAGACTTCCTGATGTAGGGATTGAGACACTAATAGAGCCACGAGTCTTACCTTACTTAAAACTTGGGCACTGAAAGCCTTCTAGGCTGACAGTAAAGAGCTTCAAAGGAGAATTCTCAAAGCACTACGGTTCTAGAAAGTGATATCAATTCTAAGAGGAGACTCTATACTCATAAGTTGTATAGAGCTTATGAGTGCAGATATTCAGGAAATACATTTAAATCAAATTTATTTGAGTCATATTGTCAGAAGAGCAGGTAATTGAAAAATTCATTAGTTGACCCTTTTAAAAAGCTTTGGTGTCAGGGAGATCTGAATTAGAATCTTGGCTCTGCTAATTATTAGCTTGTCACCACAGGTAAATTACTTAACCAGTAGAATTTAACCACTAAAATTTAAACATAGAAGGCATGTTTTCAATCTTATTTATCAGGCAGACAAAGAGCTACAAAGGCTTTGCTGGAAAAACAATCCACACTGCAGCATAAGGCTTAACTTCTGATTTTAGATAGAAAACTACTTTTGTCTCTTCTCCACTCTACCATAACTGTTTCATGCACGCTGTTATATATGTAACACGCTACAAAACTATACTTCCATGTAAACAATTTTACTTTCCTCTTATTGTCTATGGCTGTTCTTTTCACACACTGCTAATGAAAATGAGAGCGGAAAGCATCCAGTCAATACATTCCTTTCGTCTTTCCCTAGAAGAAGCGTAACTGGTTGTTTCCACCAATTTATCAATAACAGGCATTTAGGTTTTTTCTAAGAAAAAAGTTTAAATGATACAAAAGAATTTAAAAGGATTCTTATGGCTTTATCTATTGATAGAAACTAGACAGTCTGAAGATAATGTTCACAGATTTGCAGATATAAATGCTGTGCATCTTGAACCTTTAGCCCATTGTTTAAATTATAGTAAGTAGAATATTAGCACTAATTAATGTGCTATAACCTCTTTAATCATGAAAAATGTATTAGGTGCATATATATGAAGTAAGGTATCATCAATAATGCTTTTCAACAGGTTATGAATCTGGCAGTATTGAACGCAAAGCAAAATATTAAAGCTATTAAAATATTAGTGTCTGATTTTTAAAGTTTTTGAACCTATTATTTACAGACATCCTGCTAAAATGCTGCAAGCAGTCACTTTTCAAATACGTGTTCCTCACATAAAATGATGTTCAATGTTGCGTGGTGCAGATATATAAATATGTACAAACAATATATTTGTAGTTAACCTATTATTCTGACTAGTAACCAATACATGGAAGCATTAGACACACATAAAATTAGAAAACAAAAAAACTCTCAAAACAGATAAGTTAAGTTGTATTTATAAAATTATACAGAAAAAAGTTTTGTGTTTGAGAATCTTGAGTGACCCACTAATAAAATAGTGATTTTAGTGAAAAAATATTCTCCAAACACACACAAAAACAGGAAAATCAAATATCTTGGTCAAACATCTGTAGACTGCCACCTTGAAAACAAATTGATAGACATAAATATACAATTTGTTCACAGAGCATAAAATATTGCACAAGAGCAGCTTGTCTGGAGAAAATTACATTTTCCATAGTTTTGAACTTCAAAATGGCTCTCATCTTTAGCTATAGTTGCATTTTATAAACAAGAAACATTAATATTCAGTAATACTGTTAGAACCTTATTTTACCCATTAACCATATTCCAGTCTACTTTCTGGCAATGGAAAATCAGTGGTGAAGATTTGGCAAAGATAAAAGGCAGGTAAGATTGTAAAACGTAATATATGTACATATGACACAGGTATGTTCCCAAAACCCCTAATCATATAATAACTGATCCCTTCAAGAAACACAGTCTAGGTCACAGTGATGGTCAGACGGTGGTTGAATACGACTCTCTCCGTGGGGCCTGCTCCTTGGACACCGCTCGATCGCTTTCTCTGGTCTGCAGCACACTGTCCTCTGTTTCGCTTTCACTACCATCTGCCACAGTGGGGTCCAAAGACACTGGGACAGATCTGTGCAAAGGAAAACCAACGCCACTTTCCTGTAAGGAATTATCTACAAACTCTTCATCGGAGGAATGGAATGATTCATCATCTCCTATTAAATGGTTGACAATGTGGATTCCGTCAAAAGGAGGTTGGCCTGAGAAGCCCCTCTGGCCTTTTAGGCACCTGAGCTGTTAAAACAAAATCCAAGTTAGTATACTCAGATTGAGAAAACACACACATACAGCAAGAAAGCAAATGTTTCCTGTTAAGACAAGATCTCTTGATCTGTTTCTATTTTACAGATATCATAACAACTACCAATTTCTGACTGCTCCCTATGTGTTTTATAATTTGCACATAACTTCATTTAACTGAATCATCATCCAGTCCTATGCGGTAGATTTAATTACTCTCATTCTACAGATTAGGAAATGGAGACTTGCGGAATTTACTAAGGTCCAACACCTAAGAGCAGAGTTCAAACAAAGCCTTCACTGTTCTAGAGCAAATATAATAAACTCCATGTAGTCACTCATGACTTTCAACAATTTAAACTTCATGGAGAATGGATACATTATAGCTTTCTACTTGAGGTAAATCCCAGACATCCTATCAGCTCATCTGTAAATATGCCAATGACATTTCTAGAAGATATGAGCTTCAAGACCATATCCTTATCTATCACAGACACTTATCTTGACAGCATGTCTATAATTCTGTAAATGATGATGATTCACAAATCATTAAAATTTGCTGTTTCTCTATGCTCTAGAGTTAGAGTAGAAACTCTTCTGCCTTCTTTAATCCCTCTTCCCCAGGGAGGAGTGACTTTTTTTTCAACAGGGAGGAGAGAGAGGAACCTCATGCATTAGTTAGCTCCTTCCCTTCCACTTCCTTTCTTGGGAATCAGACTGTTCCTCTGAAGTTTTACAGGTACAGACCCCCCTGGGGGGAGGGCCAAGGAGGTAAAATGCTACCTGTAGTTACAGGGTGTGTGTGGAGGGGGGCTCCTCACCAACTGTAGAGTTCTCTACTGGAAAATTATTGTCTCATCTAAATTTAAACCACACTCTCCAAAAGCAGTTTTATCAGGATTAAAGGTAATTTCTTTTCATCATCTGCCAGACTTTTCATTCCTTCAAACCCCCAAACTCACCACCATGGATAACATCGCTTGTACTAACATACAATGAAGACACCAGTCCTGTCCTCAGGTTATGTTTTAAACATAAATTTTAATTTTGGTATTCTTTCACTTGTTTCATTTTTGTAAACACCAAGAATTTTCTCCTACAATATAGGAGAATAAAAAACAAACCTAAAAAAAGTAATTAATTACCAAATACCCTATTAAAGATCTTGCTAAAATATTCTCTATGTTTTTTACACTTATCCTCACCACCAACCTTCATACTTGTTTTTCAAGGACAAATTCCTAGTCACTATCTTTTACATCTTGAAATAAAAGCAATGTGAAATATTCAGGAAATATTACATACACTTTCAAAACTAACGGCTCTGAAAGTAAAGGCATTACAATCTTGCCATAATACCTCCCAGCTTTCCTGGTGACTTCCAGGAAGAAGTGAAGAAACCTCAGTACTTCCCTGCTTCCATGTGACAAGGGGAAACAGGAGAGATGCTGGGGCTCAGTGCGGTGATGTCGATGCAGGTGGACCTTCAACTACAACGCAATGCCACAGCCCTAACGACAAAATTATAGTGAGGTATGATGGATTTTAAACATCCTTCTCCTTGGTAGAACCGAAGAGATCTAAACTTAGCTGAATCTTTAAGAAAAAGGCACAGACACCAAAAGACCTGGAGGTTGTGATACCCAGTGCATTATTGTAACTGCTGTGTTCTGATGCAACATCCTATCACCATATTGCAACACATGATTTATAGCTCTGAGTGTTGAATTAAGTCAGTTAATCTCTTCCTTTCTCTTTTCTCCCCCAGACGCTTTGAAGACATGTTATGGAACACGTGTCTTTCTTCTTCCTGGCTGCTGTAGAAGAGAAGTACGGCAGGAGAACCACAATGTCCCAATTGTTTCGAAAACTGTGGCTTTCCTATGTGCTAACAAAAGGTACTACAATTAAAACACTGCAGCATCTTATCAAATGTAACTCTGGAAAATTAATTACAGGTTGAGAGATCTTTTCCTCAACATCAAGTGACATGATTAATGCTTCTTTACTTGAGAACTGTTAATATAGCAAAGGGAGAGGAATTTTTTGGAGGAAGGAAGAAAGGTTAAAGTAACAGACTATATGGCAAAATCAAAGCTATTTCATAGTCATCCTTTGGGCTTAGAAGTATGCACACTGGTTCTCATGAGGGAGGAGGCCTATATAGGACCTGGAAGAGGGAACAGGATTTCAGGCAGGGAATTTAGGGTCTTGGGTATGGTCTGGAAAGGGTTGCATGGGCATTACATGGGCACATCTGGGAGATCTTATTTTGTGGGCTGGCTTGGCTGGAAGAAGGCTAGAGCTGGCCGTTCTAAAATGTAGGGGTACTGGCTGCCTGCATAACAATGCTGTACTGCTGGATGCAGTGGGGGCTCATCCCTATAATCCCAGCACTCAGGAGGCTGAGGCAGGATTGTCATGAGTTCAAGGCCAGCCTGAACTACACAGTGAGAACCTGTCCCCTCAAAAAACCCCTGGACTGTTTATCCTGATTACTGAACTTTTAGGAACTAATTACGTTTAATACCAGACAACCAATCTTCCCAACCCTCTTCCTTCTGAACAAACAAAACTTTCATGTTATTGTGGATAGCAAATTTAGATTTGCACATTTTAAAATATAACCCACTGATCACCTGCATCAGGAGAACTGAAGATAACTGTTAAAAATGTAAACTTCTCCAATCTAAGGAATCAAAGTCCTGCAAGTAAATCTTAGAACCTGAGTTTTCAACATCTCAGGAAGAGTCTAGGTTTGAGAATTATGTATAAGTGGGGGTGTGGCAGAGCAGTGGTAGAGTGTTTGTCTAGCACGCATGAGGCCCTGGGTGGAAACTCAGCGCAGGAGCAGGTGAGGGGATCTAAGGCACTAAGGAGCTGATTTAACTGAAATGGAACTCCACTACTCAGGACGAGAGTGTTTCTGAATGATGAACATCTGTCTTATGTGTGTCTGATATATACTGGATGCCATCTTTTCAGTAATACAACCAAGCTGTTCTGGGCCAAATTCACCACCTGAAGGCCAGCATGAGAAGTACTCCGTTAAAACAGAACCCTTTCCTGGAAATTTCTCCTGCTGTTAACACAAGATTTAGGAATGTGTATATTTAAAAAAAAAAAAAAAAACCACTGAATATCTGTTTGTTTTTGGTTTTGCTGAACTCTCCTTTGGGTCAATCAGGGGATCAGGAATCTGATAAAAGCCATTGGCTGTGTCCTCAGAAGTATACATACTTAATTTAGCATACTACTGTGAGGCCCATTGTCCTTCCTAGAGTTTGGATAAATAATACAGGAATACCTTCACTGCTTCTCAGCCATCTCGCTAAGATCAAGTGTACGAATATCTTCATGATGTTGAGCAAAACAGAAATAAACAGTAATAAATTTCTATCATTGCAGGCTGAAGGGAGAAAAGGGGAATGGGGAAAAAAATGCAGCAAGATATATTATGTTCAGGTACAAACTCCATATGATAAATGCTATCACTATGTATATCTAAAATGTATCAATAAAGTTTACTTGCCTCCCCAAATAAATTCCTATCAAAGAAAAAAAAAGCATTATGTTTCCCAGTAAAATCAGACAGTTTTTTGTTTGTTTGTTTGTTAGTTTATCTTTTAATAGTTGGATAGTATTATTTAGGAATACACCATCATCTACTTAAGCAGTCCTCTTGCTGGGAGATTTAGGTTCAACCTCCTCGTTATAAATAGCATTTCTCACACATTTATGATCGTTTCTGAACACAGAGTTTTACAGAGTTGCCTTTAACACATATAGCGAAAAGTATAAAATACAGCACAAGGTTTTCGACATTCTTAAGAATTTTGAATTCTGTTTAAGCTATCCTTCAGAAAGGTGGTAAGAACTCAAACTCTCAATAACATGGCATGTAGGGTTCTCGTTCCTTACAACTTTGTCCCACTTGGCTTTTTTTCCCCTTCCATTTAGTCCATCAAATAAAGAGTTTTAAACTTTTTATTATGAAATATTTAAAACACAAGGAATAATTTAGTGAACCCCTATGTTGTCATCATCTAGCTGCAATAATCATCGAATTATGGCCACTATTGTTTCAAAGTAACAGTACGCCTCCAAGCCTGGATTCTTATCCCCAAGCTTCAAAGCAGGTATCCCCAGCTTCAAAGGAGATATTTAAAAAGTAATTTTGGCCTGTTGAGCTGAAATGTCTTAAACAAAACTGTATTATATAATCTATCTGCCTTTCAGATTCTTTTATCCTCAAGTACAAGTATGTAAACTTAGTAAAAACAAGCTTATTGCAGTAAAATCACTGTTTCCCTTTAGTGCCTGCCTTCTAGGTCTTTAATGTTTATAATAACTTATTTTAGGTATTATTTACATCTATATATTTTCCAAACAATATCAGCTAATAGACTCACAACTATCTGAGAGATAGTCTCACTGACAATTCAACTCATCAAGTCTCTCTGGAACCCTTACTTATGTGAGAATGTCACTGATGGTAAACTTACCCTCTGACTTTCTAATTATCTAGATCAGTAACTGATAAATTCTGGTACTCATAGGAATCTTCTGGGTTTATTATTTTTAGAAAGTTTTCTGAGCCCTACTCTCAGACATCTGGATTCAGCAGATGGGCTCAGGCATCTGTTTTAAACAAGCACTTTAGGTGATTCAGAAGAGGATGGTCCACAGATTCACTTTGAAAAACACTACTCTAAATCATATTTAGGGACTGAGTATACAAGGATCATATTATAAAAATATGGATTTCAATCTCCAGCACAGACAAAAAAAATAGCATGGATAAGGATAACGAATTTGGGGGCTGGGGATTTAGCTCAGCGGCACAGCGCCTGCCTGGCAAGTGCAAGGTCGTGAGTTCAATTCCCAGTACCAGAAAAAAACCAAAAAAAGGGAAAAAAAAGAAAAAGATAATGAATTTGGATTTAAAGACTGTTTCCATCTTCACACTGTCCTTCATCGTTTTAAAATACTGT